GTATATATTTTTATAGTAATATATTCTTATCTTTCTATAAAAAGAAGTATTATATTCGACTTCTTAATATTTTATTAGACTAATAGAGTAATATCTTTTCTTACCGCCTTTGGACTAGCGATGTTATATAAACAGTTAAACTAGCGAATCTTAAAAGAATTAATAATTAGTTATTCATTGATTGCTTTCTCGAAGGCTCGGAGCCAACAGATTTTTATATAAAAAAAAATATATATCTAGTTTAATTTAAATAATACTAATTTTACTAAAATATTTAAGAACCGGAAGTCGAACAGTTTTAAATTAAAAAACTAATAAAATAAATTAAATTAGTTAAATAAAAAATAATTTTAGAAAAAAGATATTATAAAAAATTTATAAAAATTAAAAGTATGATTATTATAATAAAGTCGGCTACAAAAAGTCTAATTATTAAAAATTTTATTCCAAAAAAAAATTATTTAAATTAACTAAAAATACTAAAAAAAATTTAAATATTAGTATTATAATTAAAGATCTTAGTATTACAGCAGCTGCAGTTCTTAGTATAAAAATAATAAATAAAAAATATAAAAATAATATAAATATGATTTTATATAACTTTTATATCTTATAGTATTATATTAAAAATAAATAATTAATTAATTCCGGTTCTACCGAATATTTTATTAAAAATAAAAATAATTTTATTTTTTCGACTATAAAGCTTTTTAAATATAGTATTTATATAGTAACTAAAAAAATTATATATTTAATACTAAAAGATAATATTAAACTAAAAATATAATATTTAAAAGAATATTTTTATATAATAATACTTACTAATATATTATATATTCTAATATTAAAAATTAACTTACTAGATACTATATATTTTAAAAAATATAGAATTACTGTTAACTTACTACCAAATAAAATAATTATTTATAAAATCTAAAATAAAAAAATTTTTATCTTTAAAAATATTATTAATAATTAGTATTTTTTTACTTATAAAAGCAGGCTGATACTGTATATATTATATTTAAAAATATAAATAGTATATTTTTTATTATATACTTTATAAAAAACTTATTTTCTATTAATATTATCTTTAATTAGATAATAAAATAACTATTATATTAAATAGTAGTAATAGTCTATTTACAGTAATTAATAAATTAAATAATAGTAATAGTCTATTTTTATTAATTTGCTATTTATATATTTTTAAAAATATTTATAAAGAATATATTTTAGCTATAAATAAAAAGTATATTAATTTTTATATTTAGTACTAATATCTGGTATACTTATTAGTTTAAAATTATATTTATATATTAAAAATAGTAAATAATATAAATATAAATAGTTTTATTATATTAAAGTATATTTATTTTATCTATTATCTTATATAGATAGTTACTAAACAAAAAATCTAATATTTAATATTTATAATATAATACCGGCAGTATATTTTTTGATATTAAAAATAGATATATAGATTTACTTAAAATAAAGTCTAATAGAGCCTACTATTAGATATTTTTTATTAACTAATATAACAGCTAGATTAATATATATCTGTTAAAATAATATATAGATATAGTATAATATTTAAAATTATTTATTAAAATTATAAATAGAATATTATTTAAAGTATAGTTAATTTATTTTAATAATATATTTAAATTCTAAACTAAAGACTTACTGGCTTAAATATAAAATAAAAAAATATAATAAAAATTTATAATATTATATATTTATAGTTAAAATATTTCTATAGAATATATATTTTTGATTATTCTTATATATATATATATAGTTTTAAAAAATTAAGATTTGGATTAAAAGCTTTAAAGTAAAGTTATACAAAATATAATATTTTTAAAAAATCTCTTACTAATTAAAAATAAGATTATTACTATTTAAAAAATATATTAAAAAATAAAACTAAATATATTAAGCCTATATATTCTTAGATATTATAAAACTATAATAATTATACTAAAAATAAAAAATAAAAAGTATATTTTAAAAATCTTATTTTATATTATTTTAATCTATTTATTTGAATATATTAGCTTCGGCAAGCTATACTATATTTTAAATATTAAAAAAAATAAAATTATTACTACTAGAAATATTAAATTTAATAAAGATTTAAATCCGGAGATCTATAATTTGCTAAATAATAATTATAGTTATTTTTAAGTACTAATACTAGTTATTTTACTAATCTATAATTTATATAAAATTGATATAAATAATAAATTTAATATAAATAAATTAATTAAATAGTATATATATTAGTTGGTAATACCGCAGTTAGTTATAAATATATTTATACTAATATTAATATTATTAATATATATAAACAGTCTTAAAAATTTAATTAACTTACTTATAAAAGATTTTTTAAAATAGCAGAGATTTTAGATTCTATATCTATTATAATTAGTATATATTTTTACTATTTTTTAAATTAAAAATTATAAAGAAGTTATTAAACCGGCGATATTTAAATAAATCATATTATTTTTATAAGCTAACAAATAATAAAAAATTATAAAAATAAAAATAAAACTGCTTATTAAGTATAGTATATAATATTTTATTAAATTGCCCGCAGAATACAAGATAATATTAAAATACTAGATATTTAAAGTTAAACTTAATACTAATAATAAAATATATAAATTTAAGATTTATTATATTATTTAAGGCTTTCTATAATAATATAATATTAATTATAATTTTATATATATTCTAATAGTAAAAATAGTAATAATAAAAATATTTTTTATTATTATAATAATATTTAAATACACCTATAAATAAAATAATATTAAATAAATATTTTTATATAGTAAATTTTATAATAATAAAAAGATTTATATAATTTAATTAATTAGTTTTAATAATAATACTAATAAAATCTGTTTTTTATTTCTATTTATATACAGTTTAAAATAATTTATAAAAAACTAGTATTATAAGTTTTTTACTACTATTATAAATATCAGAATAATAATATCTTAAACTAATAAATATTTATTTATAAAAAAGTATAAAGAAATTATAATTTTATATATTAATAATATTTAAGTTATTATTTTTATTAAAGATCTTATTAACTCTGTATATTAAAACCTATTAAAATATTTTATTATTATAGATTTTAATAATACTTTCTAGTATTTTAAAATTAAAATCAAATATTTTATTAGTATTATTTACTTAATATAAAAAGTCTTTTTTTAATATATTATTAAAACTACTAATTCAGCGAGTAAAAAAATATACAAAATACCTCTAAATAAAGATATTAAATTTATTAAAAATCAAAAACAAGTATTTAAAAAAAATTAAAAATTATTAAGTTAGTATTAGAAGTATTATATATTTAATAATATAAATTTATTCTAATATTATATTTATAGTTAAAAAACTATCTTATTATACAAATAATTTAATAAAATAATATATAAATAGTTTTTTATTTCTATTTTACTATTTATATCAAATTGAAAATTATAAAATCTTATATATAATATACTAAAAAAGTAGTCTAGCTGATAAACTTAAAATTATAATTAATTATATTAATACTAATTATATCAGCTGTCTTAATATATATTATTTAACTATTAGATATATATTTATATAAGTAAATAGTCTGATTTTTTAGTTATTATATCTGCAGATCTATATTATTATATTAATATATAAAGCTAAATATATAGTTTTTTATATTATAAATAAAAAAGTCTACTAAATTATCTATATACTTAAAAATATCAGTTTTTAAAATATATATTTAATAACTATTTATATTAATAATAAAAATATAATTATATTAGCCTAAAATAACTAGTTCTACCGAAGAACTAAGTATATTAATATTATATTCTACTAAATTTATAAAACTATTTAATATAGTAATATACAGCTAGAATATATTAAATCTTTAAAAAATCTTATTAACTTATTTATAAAGTCTATAGAAGATATTAAATTTAATAAACTAGTAAAGAAACTAAAAATATTTATATAAAATATTAAAACTAAAATAGTTTATAAAAATATCAGCTGGCTGTATAAATATTAATTTAAAGGTCTTCTTTTTATATACCTGCCGAGTTCTTAATATTAAGAAACTTTATAAATTACTTATTTAGAAAAAAATAACGGTGTTACGAAGCTCTTTGAGAAGATATATCGATATTAGTAGTCTAGAATCACCGGATCACATAATAGCCGAAAAGTTAAAAATATTATATAGCCGTATCCAGTTCCTTCTATATACTAATTAATACAATTTGAATAACCTCAGTCTTCCAGTCCTTGTAGCGTATCTTCCGATAAACATGATCGTCACACATCACAAGTACCCCCAAAAAAAGCAGAAAAGCGTATACTGGTATCGCCCGGCGAAACCAGTCAGTCCGCAAAGCCAATATAGATATGCCCACAGGTATTCATCACCGAAGAAAATCCTGTGCCACCGTTAGGGTTCATTCTTCACATTTTCTATTCTTTTCGCAACTATCCAAGTAGAGAACACGTTGAACCTGTAAGTTTCTGATCTCTGCTACAGTACACTGTACCGCATTGCGTGAATGGCCCCACAGTTCCAGTCCCATAATCAGACATCCAGAACAGATCCTCAACCCACGCACTCCACAGAAAACGCAAAACCGCCCCAAAGATACCGGTGGCCTCCTCGACCAACTCATACATCAAGCGAGATCCTGCCACCAAGTCAGGCGCATGAGCCTCAGTACGGGACTTTCTCGATTAACCCACCACTGGGTCTCTAAAGACAAAGACACCACGATCCCTGCTGGAGGTATTCGCCTGGCTAGCTAATTCGGTACAGTAGAAGCCGGAATGACATTCTCCTTCTGTACTCGGACACCGCCTTTATTTTCTCCAAGAATACACAAAAGGGTACCTCTCCATCTAATCAACAAACAACGCGTCGGAAATCTCCCTTTTCAGCTCCCCAAAACAGCCGTCATCTACCTGCTAAGCCTATCCTCGAACAAGGAAATCTGCACCGAGGACTGGAGTATTTAAAGAACCAATAAGATGTGCTATTCCGTCCCCCTTTTCCACTATCATACCCCATCATCACCCTCAACCAAAAGCCCACGGGGATCGTGCGAACGCGTGACCTGATCTGAACATCCAAAAGCCAAGCAACGGTAAAGAACAATGTCCGACGACGACGAATCCAGCGCAAGCGGTGAATACCACGCTGAATACCACCCGCACCTGCGGGAGGCTGCAGCGTACACGGACGACGAAGTGACGCGGCGGGCGTTCGACGTGCGCCAAGTCCGCGGCGCGGACGCCGCCGGCCTCCGATGTTGCCTGCCCGAAGCGCAGCGCAGCTACCGGACGCCTTCAGACCAAGAGCAGTGTCCGATGTGCGATGCGAGCTGCCACCCGAACTGCCTGGACAAGCTGCGCAACGAGGAGATGCACCGCGGCCGGCCGCTGGCGTACGGCTGCCCGCGGTGCGGCACCCTGTGGCGGACCGACGCCCAGACCACCGCCGCCGCCGAGCGGCAAAACCGGGCCAACGCGGACAGGACTCGGCCAACGGTCAAGCCGTATCGCTACCGGCGGGACCCCATCAGCGGGCGGTACGTCTGCACCTTCGCGCCGCCGTCCACGGGCCAACCGTGCGGGTGGACCCGCAACACCAGGCACCAAATCCGCGTCCATCACAACCGGGCGCACGAGGACAACCCTGATCCGTCCTGTGACTGCGCCGGCGTCTCGGTCTTCGACACCGATGACGAGGACAACATCAGCGCGAACCCGCCGCCCTGCCCCTGCCCCATTTGTGCGGAGCAGTACTATTGTCGCCATGCCGCCGCCGCGCATTGCCGGAAAGAGCATCGGAATAACTCCTGGCCTCCCAAGTGTCGAATTTGCCACACAATATTTGACAAATATCTGGACCTCATTGTGCATCTTACCTATGCGCACCAGAATCCTCGACCTTCTCAGTAAACAACCCAGGTCCGGCATCATGCCAGTGAGGTAAGCCAGCAGTCTGTCTGTAGCTAACACCTCCCTTTTTCTTGGATTTCGGGCTGTATTGATGAGTGGGTGGAGAAAGAGAAAATCCCTACTGCACTTCAAATATCTCGGGAACCACAACAGAGAAAAAAAAATAGAAATCAAGGGGCGGAACCCTGTATTAAAGTCGCTTCGTTACATTAGTATAAAGTTCCAGATGAAGTCCCCACCATCTGCAAGATACAATTTGATGGATTATTGCACAAGCGGCGAACGAGCTTGTATTCGTACCAGGAGATCAGATATCTTCTGTTGCGAGACTGCGCATTCGTGAGTCATGCAGGTAGACACTGGGACTTTTCGTGAGTGGCCATCTTCGAAGCAGTCGTTGGGTGTATATCACGTTCAAAATCATTGTATAGCCCCTTCACATTACTGCTTTCATATAAATCTCAGTTTCTGGTTCCAGTCCCTAAAGCAGAGATCTTACTTGTTCACCTGAGAAGTCGTCATGCAGAATTGGCTGAGCACTGCATTCTCATCTTGTTTGGCGTTCATAGTTTTGGATCAACCTTTTGTTCAAGGCATGATGACTCTAGCTGGCGTACATCAAAACTCCTCGATTCTTCCCTATTGCGGACCAAACTGCATTGTGCCGAGCCCCGCCTCATGCTTGACAGCCTCCAGCCACAAAGGATCATAATCCGCGAATGTTTGATCCAAAGGGTCATTCCCACCGTAGGAGAACTGACGAGCCACTTGTTGTAGCTTCTCATCCGTGGGACAGATGCCAGCGGCAGTTTGACGATGAATGTAATCTATCAGGGCGCGACGGAGATCTGTGTAGCGGTTGAAGGCATTGGGAACGCCGTTTCCGAGCAACATATGGGATAAGCCCAGTGTGTCCTCCTGTTCGGGGGCGCTGCCTCCCAGCAGCGCGATAGACGATTTCCATGGATCCATCGTGCGCCGTTCGTGGCCCAGAAGGTAGGGCGGCATGGCATTTTCAACCAACCGTTGCACTTCTGGCGCAAATCCCCAATCACCCTTCCACTCCGCCATGTCGGCGCCATTCTTGAAATGAGCCCCAACATGATCCATACGCTCTTTCCAGGTCGCAAAGATCGCGTCACAGAGCCCGCAGCGGGAGACAATGGTGCGCGATGTTCGCCATCCATCCATGATGCCGGAATGATATTCCGCACTGTGTGTGAGTTTCAAGTGTTGTCGTAGATGGTCTTTGCGGGAAAACGTCCGTTGCCCATCGGCCCTAGATTGGCAAGCAAAATAGTCGTGTCGGTCGAGAAGGTGGCCGGTGTCTGGGTTTGAAGCTTGACAGAACACACAGGTCCGGGTTCCCTCGAGAACGACGATGCCACCGTCGGGGGCGCACGTCCATAGGTCCACAGGCAAATGCAAAGCCTTTTCATGTCGCTCCCAGTCGTATTTCGTGCGAAATGAGTCGGTGCAAAATGTGCACTGATATGGACGGTTTTCGATCGGTTGGCGATGTGACAGGAAATCGTTGGGACGTGAAGGCTTCTGACGACGACGATGGCGACGACGAGACAGAGATCGCTGACCAAGCATGGGAGTTGGCGGTCGTCGCACGGGCTGGTAGTGTGCGTGGTGGCCAAACGAAGCGTCAGAGCTCGATGAATGACTATAACCCACCGTGCTGGTAGATGGAGCCCCAACAACGAACGAGTTGCTAGAACTATGGCTCGACCAGGCATACTGAGATGTCGGGGTGCCCGCACTTTCCTTATCATCATCCAGACGTTCTATGGTATCCAGAGCTCGCATGATGTCTGAGGTCGCGGCCGCCTCACTTCCTGGTGGGGAGTTCTTCCATCTCTCCATGGGTGATTGTAGAGAGAGATCAGCCGCTGGTGCCAGTTGTTCGACTGCCAGGGACGCACCTCCCCCGACCAAAGTGCGCCGTCGTGCATTGCTGAACCAGTCGGATATCTGAGCCCGGTCGAGCCCCGTCTGCTGCTGCAGGGCATCTTTCTCTTCTTTGGTGGGGTAGGGGTAATCTTGATGGCTGTGAAGCCATGACCGCAGGACAGTCACCGCTTCCTTCGATAGGCGCTGGTATTTTTTCTTCTTTCCAGAACGACCTCGAGAAGAGCTGCGATGCTCTGCCGGGTGGGAAGAATTCGAAGCCGCAACAATGTGGGAATTATGGAGAAACTGACCTGCTTCCGGTGCGCTTTGCGCGAAGTCGGTGTCGCAGAAGAGCCCCCAGCATGAACAGGGTGAAGTCAGTGAAACATGCTCATAACAGACAGGGCATATCTCGAATTGACCTTCCGGGGGCAGAGATGCTGCAGGGAAACTCGAGTCGGTAGTTAGCAGTGACTCGCATAAGTGCAGGGATTCCTCGGACCCCATGGCGGGGACCGGGGGTTCTGTAGGCGGTAAGTCTAGAACATCAGAACAGTATTTAGGAGGGTCGTTAAGATCCTCCGCCATATGAAAGAAAAAAAGGAAAGCAAAGGAAGGGAGAATTAGAGATAAACTTGGGCTGAGTTCGGACAAGGAAATGAGGAGAATTGCGATCGATGGTGATGGTAATGATGATGATGATGATGATGATGATGGAGATAGAGAAATTGGCTGCGGGCAGCAAGTGAAAGGCGGAAGGCGCGAGTCTAGCCATTCCGCCCGCTCATAATGCAGTGGGGCTCCCGCGCCCTGTGTCACTCCATGGTGGAGATCTCCCGAATAGGTATAGTCCGAGCCATCCTGCCAAGCATCCACATTATCCATGGAGATTCGCCTTGGAGGTCTTTGGAGGTCTTTGGAGGTGCATGGAGATGCTGAGCAGATAAAGTCCTTTGATCCGTATAACTTGGGGAAGGGAAAGCCACTATATATCTCAATCACAGCTACAAGCCGCCCGCTACAGCTTGTTAACCAGAGCCATCGAAATATATAGTCATCGTCCATACAAGCAATCTCCGAGAGGCCTACCTAACGCAGAGCACCATGACTGCTTCATTGTGCCCCCAAGCAATTGACATCATCCTCTCTCCCTACCACGTCGGCCTGCGCGACCACCGTGTCGGCAATGGACCCCACCGCATCCTCTCCCTCGGACTCGAGCAAGAACTCCACCGCCTGGGAGTCGCCTTCCATCTCATCGAAATCCCACCCGTCAACGAGTTCGAGGGCGAGATAGGGCGCAGCTTCGAGCTCCTGCGCCGGATCTCCACCGCCGTCAGCCAGTCGGTGGCCAACCGCCGCTTCCCCCTGATCCTGTCGGGGAACTGCATGGCCAGTGCCGCGGTCGCCTGTGGGCTGCGAGTGGACGACGACCTGGCCTACATCTATTTCGACGCCCACGACGATCTGGACTCGCCGGATGTGAACGAAAACGGGTATCTAGATGCCATGGGCTTGTCCATGCTGCGTGGGGAGAGCTGGAAGACCTTGATGAACAGCGTGCCGGGGTTCAAGCCGGCAGAGTTCAATCGGCGGTTCCTGTATTGTGGGCTTCGAGATCAGACCGGTGTGCAGAGGCAGCGGGTGATCGATGCGGGCATGCAGGCCATCTGGGGCAGCACGGAGAACAAGGTCGATTTTGCGAGGGAGTTGAAGACCCAGCTGGAGCAACGAGCGTACGGCCAGGTGTTGGTTCATCTTGATCTGGATGTCTTGGATGACTCGTATGGAAAGGTCAATGACTACCCATCCCCAGGTGGCTTATTGGAATCGGACTTGATCGCTTGCATGGAACTGGTTCCGCAGAAGACTACCCCTCGGTCGCTGACCGTGTGTTCTTTTGATCCGGATGCGGGCGACGGTGACAAGATTGCTGGGATTGCAGTGCGGGCGATTATAGTCCTTGTTCAATCTCTCCTAGATACCGGAGCTTTATCCAAGATCTGAAGCGCGCATGCAGCCACAGCAAGTAATCAAGAGGCTTTCACCCAGACGCTTTCCACATATGCTTTCACCACAAGACAGAACTGGAATGGGAAGGATTTATACCTACGAACGAGAAGATGAAGCAGTCACTGTCAATATCCCAACAAAATTTTATATCATTGTCCAAATATATCATCCAAAAATTGTATCCAGGTAACAAACGCCAATAGTATAGAAAGACAATCATGTTAACATGGCATGAAAACACCAAAATTTCCACCGTGGTGTATATAAAGCGCCCAGCGTGATTGTACCAACATATAGAACAAAAAAGTCCAGCTTTTCGTTAATGGTTTCTTGGGAGCAGCCGTGAGGTAGATCATTGGCCAGGCCGTTCATTGGCTGGTAAGTATATTTTCAGCAGTTCAAGGGCAATTCATGTAGTCGTTGACCGCATTCCAGGGTCATTTTTGTGCCTTGATGGTCATGTCATTGTACCGTAATATGAGTTTCAACGAACCCTCAAAAGCCATTATTCGTAACATCCGTAAAACATAAAGTTGTCAAAAGAGCGCAAGCTGCGGCGCCGATTCGAATCATGAAGAGGTCACCTAAAATCAAGTTGGAAGGCTTTCCATTTGCCTCCGACCGTGCGACATCGAGGACAGCCGCGCGGGTGGTTAGGATAGCTAGTCGGCCCGTGCGACATGGCGCTCCCCGGGCTGGACGTCACATTCCGGAAGGACGCAGGGGGGCTGCTGATGAACATCCCGACACACTCCCGGCAGACTCCGCAAATACATTCCGTGCAGGCATAGCATTCACTCAGTGCCCAAGGCCGCTTACAGCTGGCACAGTAGATCTGAATCTCTTTGCTACGGTAAGAGGCCGGGGTGGGATTGGAGAACCGATGGTGCTGCCGTTGCGACGCCGACGGGAACATATGCAACACTGGGCTGGAATCCGAATTGATCGAAGGCGCAAGGTGACTGGAGAAGGAATGGTTCTTGCCCGACGTCGACGAAGCCGAGTCAATTGACGACTCGATGGACGGAAATGGCTCCAAGTCACTGTCGCGGTTGCGATCAAACGGAGGCGGGGTCATGGACTTGTGCATGGGCGACGCGAAGGGGTGGGGGAAAGGCCGGTAGGGTGCAGGTGGGGGTAGTCCAGTGGGGGTTTGGAATGCAGGGGGTAGCGAAGAGCGGTTGCTGCCCGCAGGAGCCGAGGTGATGTTGGAGATGAGCGGGGGCATCGTAGGCGACCGGCCGACCTAGTAGGTGTGAGAAAGGTAACCCGAGAGAATCCCAAACCCGACTTACATCAGACTGGTGTTCGTCGTCTGCTTCTGTGGCAGAGGTAGCTGCCTCGATGAGGTCCTCCCAACGCTTGCCCTGCGCCCAGGCTGCAGTTTGTGGCTCGGCAGAGAGCGCCTTGCGGTCTCCTAGACTCGGGCGTCGTCCATATTCCTTCGATTTAGTGCGCTCGTGTTTCGGCTTGCGTGCCCCCGAGATCGACGACTTGCGAGACCGAGGCAGCTTGTCTCTGCGTTGGATTGGAGGCAACGTTGAAGAGCGCCCAGGCGGCGAGTGGGTCAGAATGGAAGGCAAAAGCTCTCGAGGGCGAGCCGCGGGGAATGGAGGCAATGACTCTTGTTTAAAATGCTCGCGCAGTGACGGCAGTTCGACGGAGCGGATCCGGTCCCGGTCATTGTCCGATTGGGTTTCCTGAGGCGGACCAGTCAATGTCTGATTTTTCGCGACCGCTTTTCTCCCTGCTTAATCCGGCAAACGAGCAGTCTGTATAGCATACCATGTCTGTGTCCCAGTCAGATGCTAAACGGTTGTGGTGCAATTGAGCCAAGGCGACGGCTGCGGTAGCGGCGGCCGGATGGGCTTCATCAATACCCCGCGGGGTTGCGGGGGAGCCAGCATCGGCAACATAAATGTCGCGATCAGCCAGATCTACTTCCCAGTCAGCTGCTGAATATCCCCAATGTGCCCAAGAATATCAACCAACCATTGCGTCGTCGAGAAGTAGCGGGTTTCGGGGGGGACAGGTGAGCACGCTGGTCTGGTGGGGTTGTGACCATCAAGATAAAGCTCTCCTCGGTAGCCGGGAGCTTCGGAATGTAATGGTTGGGGTGAGCACGGCGAATGTGCTCCTGCATGGAGCGATAGCGCTTTTCCTGTGCGAAGAACAACCGGTTAGATGCGGCCATAGCAGTCTTCATTTATCCCAGCTCGTCCCTGTTACTCGAACTTCGCAGCAGCTGCCCCTCCTCAGTTTGCATGGCGCTTGCTGCCCACTGCATGAAAAAAAGTGGGGCCCCGATCGGCGGGGAGAGCGAGGAAGCACGGCGACGAAGAACACAAAGAGCTGGACGAAATGGAAACTCACCCCCAGGCATCTCTTGCGACAATTGGAACCATCATTGTTTTTCAGAGGGCAGACCACTTCGTTGTTGGCGTCAGTGACGGAGAACGAACTGGTTAAAGATGATCGGGGCGGCATGGTCTGCATGGATCCGTTTCGGGCGGCGGCGGCGTGGGGTGGGTTGGTCGGAAGGGGAGGATCAAGCACCAGCACACACCAGGCAAGGCACACAGGCTGTGATTTTCAGGGCAATGTCAATTCAATCTGGAAGATCTCCGCAAGGCGACATAAGTTGCTGCGACCAAAGCAGATTGTTCGCAGAAGAAGCTCGAGCAAGTCTAGTCAACTGGAGAGGCGAAACGGGATGATGGAAGAAAGAGAACAACGGAGGGCGGCGAAAGAAAGAAAAAAGAGTATTGCAACAGTATGAGTAATGGCCAAGCGGACGCCCTGCTAGACTACCACTTGATCTAGCTTCTATTTCCAAGACCAGTAAGTAGCACTGATAGCTGGAGCAACGGAGAATGGGGGTAGAAACTGATGCAGTCAATCTCTCATAGAGCAGCAGCAGCAGCAAGAAGAAGAAGGAAATGATGGAGGAAGTAGTAGTTGTAGTAGTAGTAGGCAAGCAGGTAAGGTAGTAGTAAGTATTGGAAGCAGCACTACAAGCAGTGGCAGTGGAGGGGGGAGAAAGTCAAGGAGCTTCACTTATCCACTAGACCGAAAGCAAGCTAGTGGCACACAGTCTGGACAATTGACAGGCAAAGGATTGGGGGAGAGCAAATATCCACTTTAAGCAAAAGGAGAAAGAGTCCAAAAAAGAAATTCGAAAAAAGACGTAGAAAAGAAAAAAAAAAAAGAAAATTGAGAAGGAAAGGCGAAAAATAGTGGAAACGGAGGGTATTGCAGTGGTACAGTCAGTAATCATACGTACAGTAAGTAATAAAAAGCTAAACTGAACAGGCGAAACAGCTGGCAAATGCTTTGCTAGCTACCGAGTAGCTAGTTACCTAGCTAGCAGAGCAAAGCAGGTGCTTGCAATGGGCGCAATGCTGGTTTCTCCGACCGCGTGGCTCACAGAGCGCTTGTGTTCGCCGAGAGGGTGGTTGTCCAGGATTAATGAACAATCCAGAAAACCCACGGAGCCGGCGATAAGTGGAACAAAGAAGGTTCCCTTTCGGTGGATTTGTTGTCAAACCCTCGATAAAGGTGGGATAAGCGTCTCACAAATGCTCAGTCGGTGGCACGATAAGCATTCGAGTCCCGGACCGGGGGAGGGATAATCACAAGAAAGAAAGAGAATTAACAGAAGGAGAAATCCAGAAGAGAAAGAGAAAGACGAAAGAGAACTCAGAAGGAATCATTCATATACTAGTCACTACCTGATGTGTTCAATGTTTCTGAATTATGTCTAGCTTATAGCAAACCAAGACACATCCATACTCCATAGGAAGCTGCTGCTGCTGCTGCTGGGCGAGGTTTAAAGTGGGAACTACGATAAAAAAGCTCCAGCTGGATAGACAGGAAGCTCCCATCCTCATACTACGGTAGCAGCTCGGCGGCATCACTTCTCCTATAGTAGTCTGACTAGCTGACTGGAATCTCATCCGAGCCATCCCCTGATGAGGCATTAATCTTGTTTTATTATTGTTGTCCTGGTAATGCCGGTCGTACAGCATGTGCCAACAACGATCCTGGTACTGAGTACTATGTATTACGATTTCCTCCCCGTCCGAGACTAGCTGGACGCCAGAGGGTATCTGATGCCGATAGCGCCTATCGATAAGTGTTGCTGTCGCAGCTAAGCTAAATGTGGGACAGCGCGATATCCGCACGCACGACATGGATGGATGGAGGAAGGACGGGGAGGATGAAGTTTCTGTCTCTCTTGTCGCGAAGATTACCAGTTTCGAGCTGGGATGCTCGATCCGAAGTTTCGACCTTCTCCTGAATTGTTTTTTTTTGGCTACTGTAGCGGCAGACAAAGGGAAGCAGTTGTTCTCCGACTCGAGCCGGGAAGGCCTTTACCTGCCTGATAGTAAATGCGTGGGTGAGGGCAAGTTGAGTGATGTGACACTTAGACTTTTCTTGTAGCTCAGCCTCGGTCTTCGTGACCATTACCAGACCGTACCGGAGCTCAAGGATGAGCGGCAGGAACCCCTCTGAATGGCCTCTGCCGTTCCGATTCTGCCCATTTTCAAGCATTGGCAGTTGGCACCAGACATATACTTCATATATTTAGGTGAGTCGCAGAAGCACTAACTCACCACTCGTGATCCGTGCGATCCAACCCCAACGGTTTTTACTTTCTCCTTTTACAGTTTTGAAGCGAAGAGAGTGAAGAGCCATGACTTTTGTCCAGCTGGTCTAAAAATTCCACTAACCATCGTCGGTCGACGGCCCGGTTACTTGGAACGGGTCTAGCGGAAATCAGCATACGATACGGTACAGTACAGTAATCGCCGACCAGCAATTCGGGAATGCCGGTGGAACCCCCCTCCTCACATTCTTGGGGTTTACGACAGCTCCCAGCTCAGCTCTGGACCACTGGGCAAAGAGCATAACTCGGGATTCTGGAGCCACGGGGGAAAGAGAGAGTAATCTTATCGAGGTCACCAACCACGGATAAGGTATCTAGTCGACATTCCATGGGGGTAGCGGTTACAGAAAATTCCCTCTAACTTCCACGGAGAACTCCCATTCAAGTCAAGTGTAGTTAGAGGTAACCCTACAGTAC